ATACATACATACATACATACATACATACATACATACATACATACATACATACATAGTGAGATGTATGTATGTATGTATGTATCTATAAAATGTATGTGGCTGATATGTACACCTGGGCAGCTAAGGACAATCAACAAAAAGGATAAAACATACTACCGTATAAACTGATCAGAAAATAAAATTAAAATCATAGCGCAATAACCAGGGCAAATTCCCTTTGAGTGGGCCTATGTCAGTGGTAGCTAACCTTTTTGGGCTTCCGTGCCAATAATTGCGCATGTGCTTGCCTGCTCATGCTTGTGTGCCATCACCCAGAAGGCAATGCACGTGGGGGCCCTCCCCATGCCTCCTGTGCATGCATGGGCAATCCACAATGCACTTCTGCGCATGCACAAGTGTCTCCATGCTGTTGCGCCCTCGTGCATGCACACCAGATAACCGTCAATCAGCTGTCAGGTGGGCGGCGCATGTGCATGCGCAAAAGAACTTTTCTGGGCGAGTGCTTGTGTGCTGGCAGTAATGGTTCTGCATGCCACTTCTGGCACACATGCCATAGGTTTGCCACCCCGGGCCTATGTGTTGAGTAACCCTAACCCTAGGGTATACCTTGGCTTTCTGAGTTGCTTTCGAGAATGAAGCATCAGAAACAATGTCCCAAAGGTTCTTTTTCAAGAGGAAACTGGACTTTCTGGTTTTTTCCTTTGAAGATGTTTCGTTTCTTATCCAAGAAGAAGTTCTTCAGCTCTGGAAAAAGCACCTTTGAGACAGCCATGACCTGGATGACTGAGAATCTCCTTAGACATCAGAAACAACATTTAGAATGCTAGTGAAGCATGCTGACTGGGGATTCTGGGAGTTGAAGTCCACACATCCTAAAGGTTGAGAAACACTGATTGAAAACATTTGGTGCATTTTTGAGATACAATAATACAAGTAGTCCTCATCTTGCGACTACAATTGAGCCCAAAATTTCTGTTGTTAAGTGAGACATTTGTTAAGTGAGCTTTGCTGTGAAGTGAATCGCTGCAGTTGATAAGTTTGTAACGTGATTGTTAAGTGAATCTGGCGTCCCCATTGATTTGGCTTGTCAGAAGGTTGCAAAAGAGGATCACATGACCCCAGGACACTATGACCGTCATATATGTGAGTCAGTTGCCAAGCATCCAAATTTTGATCACGTGACTACGGGTGGATGGGGCAAAGTTTGTAAGTGTGAAAAACGGTCATGTCCCTTTTTTCAGCACTGTTGTAACCTTGAACAGTCACTAAATGAACTGTTGTAAGTCAAGGACTATCTGTACCTTAACAAGTCTTTTTTTTTTAGATTGAAATATGGGAGTGAGAAGAACTTATGTAATTGAAAAATATTTTGGAAGTTAGATCAAGTCCCTATTAGGAGAAGAACACTTTCATTTTTGTTCAGCTAAAATCCTCTGATAGGATTCAGAAAACGACCTCTCTAAGTTGTCCTGCAAAAGCCCAGGCATAATTACTATCTGTTTGCAAAAAGGGTTTTACAAAAAGGTTTGCCAAGGTATCCAACTAATAAGGAGAATCTAAGATCAACAAAACAAAGTTTGCCTTCAGATTAAGCTAAAATCAACATGCTCGCTTTTAACCTGATGTGCAAAGTGGCAGTGCAGTTCAAGCCTATAGGAAAAAACAGCATCGCTTCTGACAACTTAAGACCTAAGAAAATTAATTGTGTTTTGGTGCACAGATGATGTTTAGAAATAGCTTATAGGTGCAATGATCTGTGCTGCCTCAGCTTTGCAAGGAGGTGATCTTAGTTTTAAATGTTTTGTCTTAAGAATCGATGCAAATAAGGAAACAGGACATCTGGCAAGCAACTGATTGCACAAAGTTTCTCTTCATTTGGGGAATAACAAAAATTATCAGTTTTTTTTCCCCCATCTGCAAGCTGATGTTCCTGTTCTGCATGTAGAAATTTGGAGACTTCATGACTACTTGTCAGTAGTGTGTTTATTTATTTTATTTTCTGTGTTCCTGGAAATCAGTTTTATCTAGGGTATTTTAATCTAAGGTCAAAGTAGAAAGAGTTAAATATAGCACAGCAACCAAAAACCATTGATTTTCAGTACCCAAATATTTAACCTGGATGTCATGGTCCATAAAGTCTTTTTAAACTTTCTGGAAACTGAACAAATACATGAATCTGGTAGCAGATCCCTTTTCAAACCTTGGTCTTGGTGGGGAGACTTTGAATATTTTGCCCTCAGAAGACTTTTGTACATTACACGGATTATTCACCCTTATAATTAAGTCAATATTCAACTGTTCCAGAAACTCTTTGGAAATTACTTTGCTCTAGCATTAGGGTAACAGAATGTCAACCAGAGAGATGAAATATTCTGAACCTTAACAAGTGCTGGAAGCATCCCTTTAACTTGAAGTTCAGTGTAAATATGATTTGGATCCTTGTAGCAGTAATGACAGGGGATGTGATAGTTCAGTGGTTAAACACACTTAGCTTGTCAGCTAGACTGCTTGGGTTCAATACCCAAGTGCCCAATGATGGGTGAGCTCCCATTACTTGGCACAGCTTCTGACCTAGCAGTTCGAAAGCATGCAAATGCAAGTAGATAAATAGGTACCATTTCACTGGGAAGACAGCAGTGTTCTGTGCGCTTTGGCATATAATCATGCTAGCCACATGATCACAGAAGTGTCACTGGACAATGCTGGTTCTCTCAGCTAAGAAACGGAGGTGAACTCTACCCCTATAGTTGGATACAATTAGATAAGGGAAACCTTTACTTTTATCTTGAGCCATAATGGCAAAGTTGACCCATGAACAGTGCCATGTGTCTTGAAAATATTTTTGCAGCATATAATGTTTACACTTGGCTCACTGACACCAATCTTTCTGTGAGCTCTTTTAGTTTTTCCAGGTTCAGCGCTCAAAAAAGGCTTCCTTGAAACATCTCTTTTCTGTTGTTGGCCATATTCTGAAACTCATTTTAGGAAGGCCTGTGGACAGCTACATTTAAGTTGTTCTGCTTTTTCGTAGCAGATGTTAGGATCATTTTCACAGTTCTGTCAGAAGAGTCAGTCAGCTTGTTAACAAGCCATTTATATAGCAGGAATCTCATTGATTTCAATAGGTTTTTGGCGTGGGCATTGATAAGATGTCCTTGTGGCTAATCATTGAGTGTTGAACAAACCAGCAAACTGCATATCCATCAAAGACTAGAGAAACCCCCAACAATTGAAATAGCCCATCATAAAATGTCTATATTTCTTTTTTTACTACTAGCAGGTTGACATAGGAGGTAGAGATGGAGAAATAAAACAGTTCTCTTTAGAAGTGATTTTAATTACTGGAGCAGAGATGAAAGAAAAATCATACCTGAACGCAGTCAGCAGCTAAATAATAGCATTTTAAGCTTGGTGGGTTTCTTTATGTAGTAGCATTTACAATTTTCCTTGCAATGGAATTGCGATTTTTAATAGATGGATTGAGGGAAGGAAAGTTACCTGTCTAGTATAATATACAGTGACCCTGAACTAGAATAAACCATAACACACAGTATTTCTGCAATCATAAACAAATCTAATCATAAAATCCCGGGGTTAAAGTTTCATTTCTTTCAGTTTCAAGCTAAAAATTCAAAAGTGGTTTCCAAGTAGAAATAAAGTTAGACAAAAAATATTCTTTTTAAATCAAAGCAGTCGCTTTTGCTGTCTGTGCCAGCTCCATTAAATTTCAGCATCCATTCTTCCATTCCAGGTATTTGCGGTTCCACCTTAAAGAAGACAATTTAATGTTTAATTTGCTCCTCTCTGTTAACAAGCTGTTGGCTTTAATATCACAAATGAGCATATGGCCATCTTTGGGCTTTCCTCCTTTCTTCTGATCTAATTGTACCAATTAGCTTGCAAAAAAAGAACTAGAAATGAACACGCTAATGACAAAGATATTTTATTTTGTTTTTAGTTCCCAAGAGGATGAAAGGCCTTTATCACCATTCTATCTGAGGTATTTATATATATTTATATTCTGTTTGGAGGCTTGATTCATAAGAAAAGGCTGCAGAGGACAATTACTAGCCATTCGCAAAGGTTTTGCCCAAAAACATTTCCTTCCTAGACAATGACTTAAGAGAATCTATAGATCTATAACAGATAGATATCCATCCACAACATGAAAACTGCATTTACCCTGCAATAAGCCATGGTTTCTGCATAATGGTTTATTGATTGGACTACAATGGGAAACGTTGATGCTGATTGTTGTTGTTATTGCTAACTTGTAGGACCGTGTAAGGATATCTTAGCTTAATTTGACTTCATTCCCTTCTTCGTGTTTAAGAATAGAAATCTGTGGCTTTGGGCTAGATTGCTAGGAGGAATAAATTTGGCAGGAAGAGAAAATGAAGGCTGGCCACTGGTTGATACTTCATCCCTTTTATGCTCTTGTGATGAGAAGCGGGTGTTCATATTTAATTGATTTCCCTCCTTTGCCTTGGTAACCTCATTACAAAAATTAAAGAGAAATGGCTTGGGTAATTTTTTTGCCGGCATCTGTTTTATTTAGAGCTGCTGTTCTGGCTTGCAAAACACCAGCTGACCAATAGATGGCAGCAAGAAGCAAGTTACTTTTGCTATCACCTGGTGGTCTTGTAGACCTTTGCAGCCACAGATAATCACAGTGCCAGAGAGCTGTTTATTTTCCTTTGTTCCCCTTATTGTTTTGTGACCTTCCTGACACTCAAATTCAACTCACTGTAGACTTATTTGTGTGATAGAACAACAGAGCAATGAATGTAAACATATGAAGGATGTGGGCTGCAACTTATGCAGTACACAAAAGAGCTGCTGTCAACTGATTGGGTTGATAACCTAATAGAGCCGCAAGCCTTAAAATCGCCAGATTAATAGGGGGAAAAATTTGCAAGCCGAATTAACCCAAGAGCATACCTGAATCTTGACTAGCTGAATCAGAAAACTGTTCCAGTCAGGGAGTGCACAACCTCTTACCACAAAGGCTGAGCTAAAACTGGGGGACGCTGAGGAGGTGTCCCGTGGAGGAGGAGTGTCCTGGAGTTTTAAGCCCAGCCTTTCCAGAAGAGACTGAAGCACCTCCACTTCTGGATGCTCTTCACAGCTCACAGAGAACGGGTGTATCAGGTAAGTACCAACGCCCTTTTTGCTGTCACCTGGTGGTCTTGTAGACCTTTGCAGCCCCAGATAAACACAGTGCCAGAGAGCTGTTTATTTTCCTTTGTTCCCCTTATTGTTTTGTGAACTTCCTGACGCCCAAATTCAACTCACTGTAGACTTATTTGTGTGATAGAACAACAGAGCAATGAATGTAAACATACGAAGGATGTGGGCTGCAACTTATGCAGTACACAAAGTACAGTGATTGAAAGCAGACAGTTATGTAACATACTGGGTGGATGCAGTAGAGACTTGTCCGGATTCCAAGGACCTCACAATGCCTCAGGCTTGCCAATTAGCGGGAACATTGTGTATATATTTTCCTCCTTTCCTTGTAAAATCTGTGTTCAAACGTTGCAGAGTTTTTGAGGAGGACAGAGGCTTGAAAGCGTTCCTGTTGTATTCCCTTGTTCCCCACCTAAACAGGCTAAGTAAACAACCTGAATCATATTAAATACAGTACGGTTGCAAATTTTTACTCATTTGGAATTCCTTTTAGATTTAGATTTGTTTGTAGTTTTTTTCTGTCCTTGTTGAGATGGATCTCACCAGAGAAGAACCTTTTGGCTAATTAAATTATCGAGCCAAATTTAAGAGATATGAGCTGTACATACTTTTCTCAGATCTGCAGATTTTCCCTCCCAGTTTCATGTCTTCCTCTTCCTGTCAACTACTCAGCTTCACCATACCTGGTTGTGTATGTAATTAAACCTGATTGAAGCCTTCTTCTTAGCCAACTGTTTGCACTCTTGCAGTCTTCCCCAGCAAAACCATTCCATATGTTCAGATTGTATGCTTGAATGAGATAATGGTAGTCCAACATGTTGGGGAATGCTATCCTGATTCTTTTCCAGCTCCTAGGTTAGTTTGTCCCTTTATGAGAAAAGTTTGCCAACAACAGGCTGAAACTGTTAATAAGAAAGTCACTGTCAAAGAGCAAGCAGATCCTTCAGTAAAGTCTTCGGTAACAAGATGGTATCTGGGATAGATTAATCCTAAATATTAATCCTCCTAGGTATCCCCTGCTTTGCTTGGAAATGCTTTTTGAGAAGGTCCTTACAGTCCATTCCAAAATTGCAAAATGCAGTCTTCACGGAGACATTTTATAATGGGCATGCTGAATAGGATTAAGTGAGCCCATTACAAAAAAGCACATATAACAGCATTTTCAGTGAGCAGTATGATAGCACAGGATTGTCTGTGTTAAGCATCTCTTAAAAATGCTTTAAACATTTTTTCTGGACACTTAAAGTACCAAATAAAGTACCAAAATACATGCTTTTTCAGTTTGGATATATTGATATCATAGCTTATATAATTATGTATACCTGTCGTGGTAACTTTGAAGAAAAAAAAATGAGTATCACTAATCACCATTGAAAAACAGTGATAGGAAACCCCTTATCAGAAACATTGCAGTAATATAAAACTGTGATTATCTTTCCACGATTAATCCTGTTAGATACAACATATGGGGAAGTGTACTACTTTTGTCTAATAAGAATGATTAAAAAATAAAATACATGACAGAAGAAATGACATCACTGCAAACGATCTTATGAATGTCCGTATAGTTCTATTTGACACTGAAATTATACATCTTAAAGATTGAAGAATACTACTAAGGATTCTGGTACAGTTGCAAGATAGTGGGATATGGACAGAGCAAAATGCAGTGCCACATGGAAAGTTGTAGCATGAAAAGCTTATTTGTTAAATTTATTTGCTGCCTATCTAAGGCTAGAGCAGCTTTCAACAATAAAAAGGAAGAAATGAAAAGAGTGTAAACTGAACTAAAACAATAAGAGCAATAAAACACAAGCCATGAAAAAGAACACAACAGTACATCAATACGATAACAAAAAGTTGGACAAGTAAAAAGCAGTGAGGAGTCTGCCCTCAATCCAGCAGACAGGTGGAGTCTGCCCTCAATCCGGCAGCCACCTCCAGTGGGTTACCCCAACATTGAATTCCAACGAGCAAAGTCGGGTTTTCAGGCTTTTGTGGCAGGATAGGAAGGTAGGGGCAAGTCTTACCTTGGAGGGTAAGGTGTTCAAAAAGGCAGATGCTGCAGCAGAGAAGGCTCTTCTTCTATATCCCAGTTGTCAGAATTATTTGACCAATGAAATCCAAAGAAGGCCCTCTCTGCTGGCATGAGTTATAATTCTACTTATGGCTAACGGTGGAAGAAGAGTGATTTATTTGAGCTTGGAGCTGTCTACCAGAAACACCTTCAATATCTGTGTTTGAAAAATGTTCTGTGCCTTGCCTTTCATGTGATCAGGTGAACACTGCTGGCACCAAATTGATTAGGTAAACAGGGCATATTTCAAAACAGAATATGAACGGCAAGTGTCAATAGAGTGTGAATTTAATCCAGGCGGAGCCCAGGTAAAAATGTTTTGCTTGCCCTGATAAAATGCGGGACTGAAGAAAGGTTGTATTCAGTGTTGCTCTTCACACAGGTGCTTTGTGGAGATGGGACAGGTAGAATTTGGCAGTAGGTTAATTTGTATTAAACCATCCAATGCCAAAGGAATTGTTTAAATAACATAGAGGCGAGTCCTTTGATGCAACCATTTCTTGTTTATGAAGAAAAGGGCTGGCTAGATCACAGCCAAATGTCTAACTAAAAATTCACAAGCTGGACAAGATTTCAGTAACCTTCACCACATGTTCTTTTGCAAGTGGTGTTATCCACTGTCTCCTATCCAGAGGTAATATAGACAGTACAGTAGTATTGAATAATAGCCATTGATGTTCTTATTCTCCGTGAATTTGGTAGAAAGCTATCACTATGGTAATACACTTGATAGTAGATATCAGGTATGTTTCTCTGAAGCCACACTGAAAAGTTGTTATGCAATTTAAACCGCACCCTTCAACTCTACCAAGGACTCCATGGAAATGTCTCCTTCCAATGTCTTTACCATGAGTAATTAGAAGGATCCAAAAGAGGGGAGGGGGAAAGTGGTGAAAAAATGACGATCTGTTGCGAGTTTCTCAACACATAGCAGTTATTACTCTGTTTCAGTTTTTATGAAGAAGGTTGAATCTAGTTTCTTGTTTTGCATTTTGTATTTTTACTGTTTTAAAAATAATCCACCTTGAGATAGTATGTCAATTACATAAGACATAACTAATTTGAGCCCTAGGTTTATTTCTTACTGGAAACAAACAGGTTATTTTGAAATGAAGCTTATTAAGATATTTAAATTTAGTATTTGGAGCAGTGGGATTGTGCAATAAGCCAGAACACAACAGTTATGGTTGATTGGTTGACTACTGGCTCCTGCATGAGACAATCTGCACTGTGATTGGCTACTGTGGGTGTGGCGGGGGGGAGAGTTTCCCTTTTTTCTTCTGTGTGTCCTGTATGCTCTGTAATTTACCTCAGGTGTCAAGCTAGCGGCCTGTGGGCTGGATGCGTCACACGCAGGCCATGCCCACCCCAGGGGGGGAACCATCGCGACACATCACGTGATGCCAATGTAACGCCGCGAGTTTGACGCCCATGATTTATCTGCTTTGCCTGACAATTTTGTTCGGTGCATATTTAGATGCAAAATATATTTATATAAAACTACAAGTTTGGGTCTCTGACTTCATTTGGACACCAGCTGTGCAATTCCCCCGACAAAACCTCTTTCAGAAGGATGCATTTTAGACTGGAGAAATAGTATAAGAGAAAAAACAGTACTGACCTGAGACATCATGTTGCATGATGCCCATTTATAAAACATTATATAACAAAAGACAACTGGACTGACTGACCATTAAATCTTCTGAGAACTTGCCAATCAGCCAACAGGTTGTACTGATTCCAAGGAAGGGAGGCCACCTAAGGCCTCCCAACATTTGTAGCCTAAGTTGACCGTCTCACTCTGCCTGAGCCTAAAGATAGGGCAAATCTCATACTTAAGTTTTCCCTCCTTGTCATTTACTTGAAATCTGCACTCCATCCGTTTCTTTACCTGGAGACAGATGTTGTCTTCCATTACGAACTTTGCGCACAAAACTGGAGAAAAATGAACTTAAGAGCAATGGAGATAGGATAGATTATAAATGAAATAGGATAGATTATAAAAAGAAGAGAGTAGTGAGGTAACTTTTAAGAAGGAGCTAAATCTACAGTTGTACTTATAACGGCTGTAATGAAGATCAGAAGTCACTTGTTTCTTTTTTTTCTTTTTTTCTTTTTCTTTTCTTCTGCTTTCTTTTCTTTTTGCACTATAGCTTTCTCTTTTAGTTCTTCCTTTCTCTGTAGAGAATAGTGTTCTTTTGCTTGATTTTTTTCCCCTCTTGCTGTTTCTCTTTCACAAGCTTTTCATCATTAGAATTCAGCTTGCTGTCATACTTGCTGTTTATTTTATTTATTTAATTTATATGTCAGGCCATCTCAAATAAGTGACTCTGGAACCAGTAGTTATCAAATGTAGAGTTCCAGATTTTCTCTTTCATCATCATTCAGTTCTTAAGTAACAGAGGTTTACTGCAATTGATACTTCCCTGCAGGCAATCTAGTGAAAACTGCTTGTAGAAATCTTTTTATTTATTTTTATAGCCCAGTTATAGGAAAATAGCCCAATAGCGCTATCCTTTTTGCCTGGTTGGGAACTATTGTGTTATGCTCTGAAGAATATGGCAATAAAAATTATTGGGCATTCTTTCTGATCTGCAATTGCCCAGTTTCAGTAAAAATTCATACTTTTGCACTTTCATTTGTAGGAGTTGCATTCAATTCTAAATTATTGGGAGGAATGTTCAAAAGTAAATATACTTCCTATTTGGTTTACTTTTTCTGATAACAAATGTTTTGCAAACTTTTGCAAACAAGCTCCCACAGTGAACATAATGTATCAGTGCAGTAGGAAGACCTTATTTGTGCTATCAAAAAGTATCACCTACAGATTTTAGAAGTACAGATCTAGCAGCTGGAGTTTAAAAGGGTAATTTTAAAGTACTTGCCGCCTCAAATTAGTTCTGGAGATTACATATTGATTATCTCATTTATATACATATCATATTTTGTGTATATCATAGAAGTTCCTTCTACTATCACATGTTCTAAAAGAGCCTATAATAACTTTGGTGTGTATACATAATTATGTATGTAAGTATGTCGCAGGTTTTTACAGCTTTTCAGTATGGACCTACTGAAGGGCTTTCCTTCTGCATAAAGCATGAAATTACATTTGTATATTTATACATGTGGATGTGTGAGAGCTACGATTTCTGTTCCTAAGCCATAGTTCATTGTTGCATCTAGATCAGGGGTCTTCAAACTTGACAACTTTAAGACTTGGGGTTTCAACTCCCAGAATTCCTCTACCGATCATGTTAGGAATTCTGGGAGTTGAAGTCCACAAGTCTTAAACTAGCCAAGTTTGAAGACCCTTGATCTAGATGACAGATTTTGTAGCACATTGTAGTATGAAAGTACATGGCTTTCATGCCCAAAGATGTCAGATTAATTCTTTGGCATTTGTGTTTAAAAGCTGTAAGTGACTGGTGAAGAGAAAGACGTTGTGTTGCACTGAAGTTGGCAAGTCACTATCAGTTGGCAAGTTGGGAAACAACCTGATAAGTCTGAGATGGCTACCTGTCTTCTCATGTGTATATGGATATCTCTTTCTTCATCATAGCCAAGGCACTTTTGAAGGAAACATACTTTCTATGAAAGCAATTCTGAGAACATTATCTGAACATAACAGAAGCATTGCCTCTTTGAGCAATTCTTCTAGCTTCTTGATGGGCATTTCTTAGTCTCCATAAGCCAAATGCCCATCACAGTTGAGACATACTTCTTTTTTATCTTAGTGATTTATTATATTGGTGCAAAAAAGAAGCCTGAAACATCTTTAAGGTTTTTAATAACCGTTTTTAATAACCAGTTCAGCTACTGAAAAAGAATTGTGTTATTGTACTTGGGGTGAAGAGGAATTTCCAAAGATTCTTCAGAATTAGCTCTTAATACACTAGTATTAAGTTTAGATGTCACATTGGTTTGTAAATATTGGCTGTAGTTGTGTAAGTTTCTTGGCCCATCCTGATGCTACGCTTTTCAATAGAGATATAGTTGAATGGTGAAAATTAGTTCATTTTTTGTAATTTGCTTCATAAGTAACATAAATTACTTGTCCGTACTAAAGAGCATTGCACCCCTGTTCAGCCACTGGTTCTTATTTACCCATCTTTAGAAGAAAATAACCCATATCTTGTGTCTATCATTCTACTTTCTTTAAAAAAAAACTATGCTGAACAAAGCAGGATATGCATTTCACTTGAAAATATTAGCAAGAATTCAGAACTTGTTCAAAATAAGTAGGTTTAAAACACAGGTAGTCCTTGACTTACAATCACAATTGAGCCCAACATTTCGGTTGTCGAGTGAGACATTTGTTGTGAGTTTTGCCCCATTTACAACTTTTCTTTTCTCAATTATTAAGTGAATCGCTGCAGTTGATTAGTTAGTAACTTGGTTGTTAAGTAAATCTGGCTTCCCCATTAACTTGCTTGCCAGAAGGTCACAAAAAGTGATCACATGACCTTGGGACGCAGCAGCGATCATAAATATGAATCGGTTGCCCAGCATCTGAATTTTGATCATGTGATTGTGGGGATGCTGCAGACGTAACCTATGAAAAACGGTCATAATACACTTCTTTTTCAGTGCTGTTGTAACTTTGAATGGTTACCAAATAAACTGTTGAAAGTTTAGGACTACCTGTAATAAAATTGTCACTGGTAATTTCTTGTTCTCTTGGCATAGTATGGTTAACACATTTAACAGTATAGCATTCACTTAGTCTTTCCTTTAGTGATGTTGTCTTGATTTGTAGGCAGGTAGGTTAGCCAGCTATCGTGACTAATAAAATAAGACAATGAACTGTTTTTTATGCTTCACA